TTTGGAGATGCTATTTCTCTGTTGAGAATATTTTTCCATACATCCTTCAACATAGTTACAATAGCTAGTTTAACATCTCTATGTGACAAATCCAAAATATCAATAATTTTGTGTTTAGTCTACATTGATTTCCTGTTCTTGTGAATTTAGGTACATTTTTCTGTCTTATAATTCTGCACTGTATCTTAGACATTTGAATGATTCATTGTAGACTCCAAATCCTGATATATATTTTTTGAAGTGAGAGTCTTTCTTTTCTAAAATTTATTTATCACTCAGTTAACTTTGATAGACTTAAACTTTAAACTGTGTTCTATGTAGTGAATGGCACCTGAAAGCAAGAGTTCGAGGCAGAGCTTATACCCAGAATTTGAAGTGCCTTTTCTCTAAACGTTTCTTCAATCCAGCCCGGCAGCTGGAATCCTTCCGAAGACTTCCCTTTGGTTTACCAAGCTAGTAATGATGAAGGTATCCACCCGAGTTTTTCATCATTTGATGTGCGTTGAGCTCTGACTAAAAAACTCACTGCTGTTGAGTTGGCTCCAATTCCCAGCGACCGTGTACGCCAGGGTCCAACAGCCCCTGTGAGTTTCTGAGACTGCATCTTTTTCCGGGAGTGGAAAGCCCCTTGTTCTCCGGCTGAGCACCTGCTTATTTGGAATGGCTGATCTTGTGATCAGCAACCCAACGGGCCGCCGCTACCCCACTGGGGCTGGACCGCAGCCTGTGCCAATCCCTTCTTCCACATGTCGACCCCTTCACTTGAGTTTCTGCCGTATTTTTGTTTTCCTCCAGTGTGTTGCCTTAGTGGTTGTTGTTGTTTTGTTGCTGTTAACTGTGCATTTGGCTAGTTTCATAGGGATTATTTGACTGTTATTTAAAATAGAAGCTCCTAACAGTTATTTCTTGAACATACGTTTGCCTGAAGCAACTCGTGATACTTGAGAAACACATTATTTCATAATCTTCCTAATAGAAAACCTATATTAGCTCCTTATTCTTTCTCCTGGTTCAGAAGTGGCACAGTTATCCATGATTCCACATAAAAGGAGAGCCATGGAAATGGCTTTTTTGATGTTT